GGAAAAACGAGGGAAAACGGGGGAAAACGGGAAATGGGGAAAAACAGGGAAAACAGGGAAAAACGGGGAAAATGGGGAAAAATGGGGAAAAACGGGGGAAAATGGGGAAAAACGGGGGAAACAGGGAAAAACGGGGAAAAACGGGGGAAAATGGGGAAAAATGGGGAAAAACGGGGAAAAACGGGGAAAACAGGGAAACAGGATCGGGAACGGGGGAAAAACGGGAGAAAAATGGGGTGGAAATGGGGGAAAAACGGGATGGGAACGGGGAGAAATAGGATGGAAATGGGGAAAAAATGGGATAAAAATGGGGAAGCGGGGTCAGGAACAGGGAAAAAATGGGATGGAAATGGGAGAGAAATGGGGTAAACGGGATGGAAATGGGATAAAAACGGGAAAAAAACGGGAAACGGGGTCGGGAACGGGGAAACGGGATAAAAACGGGAGAAAAACGGGAGAAAAACGGGGAAATGGGATCGGGAACGGGGAAATGGGATAAAAACGGGATAAAAACGGGATAAAAACGGGATAAAAACAAGGAAACGGGGTTGGAAATGGGGAAATGGGATAAAAATGGGGAAACAGGAATGGGGAAATGGGATAAAAACAGGAGAAACGGGGTCAGAACGGGGAAATGGGATAAAAGGGGATAAAAATGGGATAAAAAGGGGATAAAAATGGGATAAACAGGGTCAGGAATGGGGAAATGGGATAAAAACAGGATAAAAACGGGGTCAGGAATGGGATAACAGGGTCAGAACGGGAAAATGGGATAAAAATGGGATAAAAACAGGAAAACGGGATAAAAACAGGAAAATGGGGTCAGGAATGGGGAAATGGGATAGAAACAGGGTCAAAATGGGGTCAGGAATGGGGAAATGGGATAGAAACAGGGTCAAAATGGGGTCAGGAATGGGATAAAAATGGGAAAAACGGGATCAGAAACAGAATAAAAATGGGATCAGAAACAGGATTAAAACCCAAGACGAAATGGATTTGATGGCCAAATTCCAAGGAAAAAGGGGATTTGATGACTGAATTCCCAACCAAAGGGGATTTGGTGGCCGAATTCCCAACAAAAGGGGATTTGAGCACCCAATTCCCAACAAAACGGGATTTGATGGCCGAATTCCCAACAAAAGGGGATTTGGTGGCCGAATTCCCAATGAAAAGGGGATTTGGTGGCCGAATTCCCAACAAAAGGGGATTTGGTGGCCAAATTCCCAACAAAAAGAGGATTTGATGACTGAATTCCCAATAAAAGGGGATTTGATGACCGAATTCCCAACCAAAGGGGATTTGATGACCCAATTCCCAACCAAAGGGGATTTGATGGCCGAATTCCCAATGAAAAGGGGATTTGGTGGCCGAATTCCCAACCAAAGGGGATTTG